GGGGGGGGGGGGTTGGCACACACACCCCAACTTAATCAGATGCATTCATAATACTTGTGAACAACAAGATTCAACCCAGATTCTTCCTGGATTATTTTCACCAGCTGAATAACCCCTTAGAAAGGAAAAGGCAAGCTAGTTGAGCAAGGCAGCTTTGGGAACTTCCAGCCACATGGAGGTGATGGAACAGGGCAGCTTAGTGGGGTGAGTGAGGTGGAAAAGGTGGAGAAGAGGGGAAAAGGAAGGCAAAATTGTCATTTAAATACAATGATAGTTACAAATCTTTCTGCAGTGGGACCTCTACATTCGCTGGGGTTAGGGGCACAGGACTCCCGTGAAAGTGGAAAAACCGCAAATACCAAAAACTGTGGGTATTTTTAACCTGAGAGAATACCTCTCTAGGGAGTTTATCACACGGGGGAAATCCTATGCGGAAATGGGGCTTTAAATTAGAAAAAAAAAGTGGTTAGTTTTTCTGATGATGTTGCTGTTAAAATGGGGTTAACCAGAACGGAAAGTAGTCAGAAACTGCTTCCATTGAGAAAATCCCGAAAGTGAAAAGAAGTAGTTTCTGACTACTTTCCATTCGGGTTAACCCCATTTTAACAGCGATGTGTGTGAAAAACTAACTGCTTTTGCGGGTTTCCTCCACCTTTTAAATCCCGTTTCTGCATGGGATTTCCCCCGTGTGATAAACTCCTAGGAATCTCTAGGTCCTCCAGCGCAATTCTATGGTCCACATCTGCCAGAAATGGACCATAGAATCATGCTGGAGGACCTAGAAATGCATAGAGAAGTGTTTTCTCTAGGAATCTCTAGGTCCTCTAGTGTGATTCTATGGTCAACTTCCAGCAGAGTGACTCCAGGGGAACTAGAGATTCCTAGAGAGAACCTATTAAATCCTTGAATAATCGAAGTTGCAAAAGTCAAAGCCACAAACTTGAAGAGTCGACTGTAGTAGCAATGATCACCGCCAGTATAAGGATTGGTAGTTTGAAGTAGTCAGTCAGTAAATGTGTCCTCATTTTTGCTTTTCAAAATATGGTTACCATAGTTTTAATGTTTAATTTTCTTTACTATTTTCATATACAATATATTTTATTTAACTTTAGTCCATTAAATTTTAATTATTGTTATTTTTGTCTCAAATTGATTTTATGGTACACTACTCTGAGATCATCAGATATAGGACAGGATATAAATATTTCAGTAAATAAAGAACATAAATATTCTTGCATCAGAGCTTGGAAGCAATGAGTCACAAACACATAACAAACCATAACTAGTTACTTAACAAACTGATATTTCTAAACAAATGTTACAAGTAGCAGCAAAATCACATTATTGATCCAACTAGCCACTGTTTCTAGTTACTTTCATAAGATACTTTGTAGGGACATTTTTAGAGAAGTTTTGATGAGAATTTTTCAAGTTTGACACCATTCTAAGACTTTATGAAATCTCAAAAAAGCAATCAAAAAAGCAACTTTAAAATCGGATGCAAGGTTTCCTTATACCATTTAACATCCAAAAATACCCCCCTTCCCCCTTTTTTTCTTTTTTGAGAAACAGAAGTGGATTTTCACCCACTTTCTGGCATTTTGTTTTATTTTTTAATGGCCCCTGTGGTCCCTGAAGAGCCCTAGGGCATAAAAGTAACCCCAGACCTGCTACATTTGCTGACCACCAACTTATAGAAAGAATACAGGAAAGGTAGCCTAGTAGTTAAAGTATTGAGTTTGGACTTGGCAGATCTGGTTTTAAATCCCACTGAGTCATAAAACTGCAGTCACTTTTTTCCACCTTGCCTACCTTGCAGGGTTGTTGTGAGAATAAAGTAAAGGACAATAAAGTAAACCGGAGTAAAGGAAGAGTAGACATGTAACTAATGAATGATGAATATATAATAAATAGCAGGCTAAAAGATTTACCACTGTCACAAGTGGAAGAATGAAAAGAGACAAAGTCCCATGTGCAATGTGAAAGTCCAAAAACTTTGATTTCTTAAAAAGCCGAATGCCTTTTGGCCTTGTCACCAATTGGTGCTATTATAAAATAAATAAAAGCACATTTATTGTAATAGTGGTATCGAGACAACACATAAATCACCTCTAAAACATAATTTCTTAAAAATTAAACAGTATCTATTATACACACACAAACACACCCCTATTATCAGAAATTTCTAGAGTTACAGTCTGCACTCTCAATCAAAGTGGACCCTCTGAGTATTAAAAGGAAGGAAAGAGGACTATCAATGAGTACATATTTATGATTTTTTTAAAGTAAATACTTCACCAAAGAGAACCAATAAGAAGGTATATGATGCAATCTGTCCCTAGAGTTGCTCAGCTTTGTCCTATATAGCTGATACAATCAGTTAAAACAAAATTATTATTCTATAACCATTTATTCCAGAAATATGATATTAAGCAATGTATTTCCAAATCTTCATTCTTTGGACTTTATCTCATGAGGGAAAAGCTGGGATTTAAGCCATGATTAAAAAGGCATTTCCCCGGCAAACTCGTGAGATTGCAGCAAAGATTTTCAGACCCATCACGATTAGAGAAGACTTATCCCGGGAAGAAACAGGAATGCTCCAGTAACAAATAATTCATGGGGAAATCCCGTGAATGGTTTGTTGCTGGAACATTCCTGTTACTTCTGAGATAAGTCCTCTCTAATTGCAATGTTGTCTGAAAATCTTAGCCGTGATCTCACAGCTTTGCCAGGAAAATGCCTTTTTCATACCGGCTTTTCCTGTTTTTCCCCCATGTGATAAAGTCCTTTGTCTCTTTTCATTCTTCTAATATAAATACATGATTTCCAGTTTTTGTTCTGTCACTTTCACAAGCAGCAGTGCTTTTATTGTTATTTTTGTTTGTTGTAACCCGCCTCGATCCACAGGGAGAGGCAGACTATAAATAAAATTTATTATTATTATTATTATTATTATTATTATTATTATTATTATTATTATTATTGCAAGGAGTCCAGCTTTTTCCAACTCTTTCTGTCCTTTGCTTTTTTTGTGGGTTTTTCAGGCTATGTGGCCATGTTCTGGAAGAGTTTATTCCTGGTGTTTTGCCAGCAGCAGATGCCAGCCACAGCTGCTGGCAAAATGTCAGGAATAGACTCTTCCAGAACATAGCCCCATAACCTGAAAAACCCACAAAAAACTATGGATGTCAGACATGAAAGCCTTCAACTTCACCTTTCTGTCCTGTTCCCTGCTTTCCTTCATGGCCTTTTCATTTTTTCAGTTTGTGGCCTGACACCCTTGGCCCATTCTCCTGGCTTGGAAGTGGAGGGATCCTGGACAGACCGACAAACACACAGCTCTGGCGAAACACCTCTTCACTTAGCTGCTCGCTTTTCCCGTGCGGACGCTGCCCGCCGACTCCTGACCTCTGGGGCTGATGTCAATGCCCGCGACCAGTGGGGACGGACCCCCTTGCACAGTGCTATAGCAGCCGACGCGTTGGGTGTCTTCCAGGTTTGAAACTAAAAAGGGAGGTAGAAGAGAGTCGCATATTGTGAAGCAGACAGCTTTCCTATGTAGAATTAATGCAGTATTCTGCAGTAGCAAGTGAGTTAATGCCATTTCAGGGATGGTCAACACATTGAAAGCTAGGTTGGTATAATGGTTTGGGTGTTGAACTAGCACTCTGAGAGGCCAGGGTTCAAATCCCTGCTCAGGCATGGAAACCTCCTGGGTGACCTTCAGCAAGTTACAGTTGTGCAACCTAAAAAGCAGGCCTCATCAAAGTTCATCTGAATACGTAGGCTTTCATGACCGGCATCCGTAGTTTTTTGTGGGTTTTTCGGGCTGTGTGGCCCTGTTCTAGAAGAGTTTCTTTCTGATGTTTCGCCAGCATCTGAAGATGCCAGCCACAGATGCTGGCGAAACATCAGAAAGAAACTCTTCTAGAACATGGCCACACAGTCCGAAAAACCCACAAAAAACTATTCATCTGAATAAATCTTGCAAGGAAACTCTATGATAGAGGTGGGATAAGTCAGACTTCAATTATGAGTCGACTTGAAGACACATAACAAAACAACAACCAGCACTTGGGGCCCTTCCACATTATACAGTTATAGCAGTATGATTCCACATTAAATGCCATGGTTGCATCCTATGATATCTGGGGGTGGGGTGTGTGTGTTATAATTTAGTGAGATGCTAGAACTCTCTGGATGAGAATTCTCCCTGAACCACAAATCCTAGGATTCCATAAGATGTAGCCATGGCAGTTAAAGTGAAATTATAGTGCTATATTTGTGAAGTGTGAAAGGACCCCGGGTCAAGCCAGTTGCACTGAGAAGCAAGAAGTTCTCTTTAGTCATGGCTCTGGTTAAATTCAGAGGTCCTCAAACTTTGTTCCTCCAGGTGTTTTGGACTTCAGTTCCTGGAATCCATGGCCACACTGGCTTCTGAAGCCCAAAAATACCCTGAGAACCATTGGTTTAGTCCACAGGTGGCAAACACATTGCCGGGGAACTTTATTTATCCCCACTGTCTCCAAGTCACTTATTGTGATTTCTGCAATGTGTTACCAAATTTTAAAGGTGTAGTGATGAGACAGGATTGTTGTTGTCTTTAAATGGCAGGTGGCACACATTGTTTTAAAAGAAGGATTACTGCCCAGAGTCTTCTGGGTTGCGTGATTCTCTTCTAAAGGCCAGTGTGTGTTCCACAGTCACTTGTTTTGCTGTCAAATGTGGTTGGGCAACAGCCAGAAATTGTTGCATTAGCAAATTTTGGCAATGGCCCAACTATGGTCCAAAACATACTGTAGAAGTAATTCAGTTTGAAACCACTTTAACTGCCCTGGCTCAATGCTAGGGAATTCTGAGAACTGCAGTTTTGTGAGACATTTAGCCTTCTCTGTCAGAGAGCTCTGGTGCCACAATAAATTACAGTTCCCAGGTTTTTCTATCAGTAAGGCTGGGCAGTTAAAGCAGTCACAAACCGGATTATTTCAGCAGTGTGTTTTGGACCAATGTCAGAACTGGTCCCTAGACATACCCAAGTTTCCCACCTCTTTTCCAGCCATACTGTGTTTCTGCTGGAGTAATGGATAGCTGGAGGATGTGGTATTGGGTGCAGAATTTCTAGGCCTTGTGAATGTCAGTATGCACTTCAAAGTCTGTGAATACAGGAAGCTGTCTTGTATCAAGGCAGACACAGACCACTTTCTTGCCATTAATAAACATGCCTTACTCATTTAAGGGTCAGGAGTGAAAGCCAAATTTATTTCCTGTGAAGTTGTTCCACGAGCTTGCGACCACTACAGAGAAGGCTCTGCTCCTCTTTGCCAATTTACCTTTGCCAGTGTGGTGTAGTGGTTTGAACATTGAACTACAACTCTGGAGGCCTGGGTTTGAATCCCTACTCAGCCATGAAAAACCATTGGGTGACCTTCGGCTAGTCACATTCTGTCAACCCCAGAGGAAGGCAAAGGCAAAATCCTCTCTGAACCAAACTTCCCAAGAAAAATCCACAATAGGGTTGCCTTAGGGTTGCCATAAGTTGGAAACAACCTGAAGGCACACAACAGCAACAGCAGCAACAATGCTCCATATAAATGGGATACCAAACTGGAACTCTGTGAAGATGATCTTGAACAGAGGATGGGTCCATGTGGAAAGAGATGCTTTCTTGGATTTGCAGATGTAGCTCACTACTAGCATCTTATCCATTTCACAATTCACTCTAAAACTCTCCTGTCTCCAACAGATTCTTCTCCGGCAAAGGCAAACAGATTTGGATGCGTCAGCGCATGATGGCTCCACCCCACTAATCCTTGCCACACGGCTGGCTGTTGAAAACATGGTGGAGGAGCTGGTGGCTAATCATGCAGATGTCAGAGCCACAGACAAGCGAGGTGAGAGCACTGTGCATCACAGGGCTAACATCTCTGCAATAGACACTGTGTCATTCTGGGTCAGAATGCAGAATGCAGAGGTGGAATGCAGAAAACAGGGAGGTGGAAGATAGGAGTTGTAATTATTGGAGGAAAGCTAGTTGATGCTGTCCTAGACAAATTATGGGCCTGTGAATTTTGTGATTCCCTTAAGACAGAGTGTCTTGGGCTGAACATCCTAACTGCTGGGAGTCAGAGTGGGCAGAGAAGGAAGGGGAAAAACCATAGGGAACTATCGCTTTCTTGGCCTGTTTGTGGATTTCCCAAAGGCATTTCATTGTCTACTGTGGAAAGGAAGATGTTGAATTAGAAACGGTCATGGAGTTGTGGTAGTGCATGTTCAGCAGCAGAGCCATCCAGCCAAGATGTTCATCAGGCAAGATGTTACAAACCATGGAATTTATCACATGGGGGAAATCCTGTGCAGAAACGGGATTTAAAAGGTGGGGGAAACCCGCAAAAGCGGTTAGTTTTTCACACATATCGCTGTTAAAATGGGGTTAACCCGAACGGAAAATAGTCAGAAACTACTTCTTTTTACTTTCGGGATTTTCTGAAAGTAAAAAGAAGCAGTTTCTGACTACTTTCCATTCCGGTTAACCCCATTTTAACAGCGACGGTTAACCCCATTTTAACGCTTTTGCATTGTTGTTTTTTTCTAATTTAAAACCCCGTTTCCGCACGGGATTTCCCCCGTGTGATAAACTCCCATCTCTGAAAATCTAAAGTGAGGGAGAGTGACTCTCTCCCACTGGATAATTGGTTCCTTTGGGGAAATGCTTTTACTTTTAGAGAATCACAGGGTGGAGCAGGAACTTTCTTAAGAACTTTTAAAAGAACTTCTCCTTATTCCCCCTTATGTTCATCCAAAATCTACATTCCTGAGCTCAGAATTTAGAAAGTTTCCTTTGAGGGACTAGAGTTCCCAATATCTCCTCACTAGCCTACAGCTGGAGATGGAATCTAGTTCTTGCATGTGCCAGATTCTGCCCCTCCTTGGACCAGAGATACTTGCCCCCAATGTAGGGGCTTGGGAAATACACCCATTGGCCATAATGCAATTAATGTCTAGGGTTCAAGAACTCTGTGGTCTTCTCACCATCCCTGGAATTTTCCATGTCTGGCAGGAAAGAGCGCCCTCCACTGGGCTGCAGCCGTGAATAACGTCCGGGCCACCCTCATCCTGTTGAGAAATGGAGCTGACAAGGACGCCCAGGATAATCGGGTAATATATTATGTCAGTTGGCTTTGTCTTGAAAAGGATAAAATAGAGCTGGAGGATTATACCCCAGCATAGGCCAGTAAAGTTATCAAAAGAAGCAATTTTATTTATTTATTTATTTATGCATGGAAAAGAATTTAAGATACTGGAGCACAAAGGAAGCTACTTTATACCAAGTCAGACTATTTGTCACATTGTCCTGTCCCCGACTCACCTTAGACAAGCCTATGCCCCTCACATGTGGTGGAGGACGCTCTCCCATTGCCAACATTGTCTTAAGATTCAACAGCCAATTTATGTTCATGGAAAGAAGAAATAGCTAACTTATCCTTTGCCTCAGACAGCAGAATGGCTGATGCCAACCTGGATGACAGATCACTATTAACTTCCAACCAGTCATTCTGGCCAGTAACCCTTTAGCCAGATGTGGATGACATTTACCTTGCCTGAGTTACCTGGCAGGATTGTTGTTATGAGCAGCAGCCCAGTGGTATCTTATAGCACCCATGCCTGATTTGGGACTTCCTCCCCTCAACGCACATTTAAATAACTCACCCTTTGCTGTAGGTTTTCTGCTGTCTTCCCAGTGACAGTGGTGGCTGCCTTAACTCACAGTCCCTTGCGAACCATATAGCACTGCCACTGTGAGTCACTTTGAGTTCAGACGAAGTGCTCAGCATTGATAACATGGCTGGGCATCTCATTCTGAGCTCAGTGGTGGTGCCAGGCAATGAACAGCAACTGCGTAAGAAGGCAGATGCCCATTACTTGCTACAAGAGTCAAAAACCTGCAGCAAAAGAGGGGGGCAGGGGGCAATTCAGGTGAATTAGGGGCCAGAATACTCCAAAGCAGGGGTAAGCAACCTTTTTGAGCCAGGGGCCGGGTTGCTGTCCCTCAGACAATTGGGGGGCCGAGGCACAAAAATAAATAAGTAAATAAATAAAATTAAAAAAATTAAAAAATATGCATGCACACTCTCTCCGCCCCAGAAAAGCCATAGCAAACCCCCTGTGGAGATTTTGCCAAGAAAACCCCAAGAACAAGTAATAACAACAATAATCAATATCATCATGGCGGGTGGCAGTGGCGGTGGCAGCAGGACCGGCCTGGGGCCAGTCCAAAGGCCTTGGGGGGGCGCATCCGGGCCCCCCCCACCGGGCCTTAGGTTGCCTACCCTTGCTCCAAAGGCACCTAAGTTCTGGCTTTAGGCTGAACTCTCTGCATCTCCTTTAACACCATGGGAGCCCCCAGCCACCACTGGGTATAAATGGAAGTCATAAATCAAAGGCACTGTAATAATAATAATAATAATAATAATAATAATAATAA